TGGCCCTCTTTTCAAGACTCTTTTCCTCTGCCAACAAATGTCGGCCTTTTAGTTTTCATGTTGCATGGTTGGAAGATCTAGGTAACCAGGTATGAGTCCCTTTCCTCCAGAGACAGGTTGTTGGAATACTTCCTTTCCCCCAGCAGGCGTGGAGTACGGAACCAGGCTAAGTGGCCTCGTGGAAAGTGTGCAAACAAACAGGCAAGTCTGGTATGCTCATGGGCACACAAAATGCAGCCTGGAAAGAAAGACACTTAGATGATCACACCTTCCAAACTCTCGACATCTGCGAGTCGAGTCTGGTGAGACTTCTCATCCAAGCTATATATACCCCGGCTCCACTGCGAGCCAGAACGGTTCTCCAGATGTCAGCTCCAAATGGACTGTCTAAAGCGATCCAAGTGGCTGTCTATAGCGGTGCTCTTTCTGCTCCTGCAGGTCGCGACACAGCGCTGTGCGACCGCTGTGCGTCACTTGCAGCGTTTCGTGCATGACTTCAGAACCAATTCAGCAAATGTGGGAGATCAATATCTTCTGCTTCAACAAAAATGGATGTGTGGGCATCATATCTGTCCATTTGGGGAGGACCAGGACCTATATTTCTATAGCACGCATCCGCATCTCAACTATGCTAGCTCAGCAGCCAAGAAGCTTCTTCCGGCACCACCTCTCTGGGCCACGAAGGCGCAAAAAAAAAAAAAACAACAGGCTGATCTGAATTTGCTGGACAAGTGGACCTGCCTTCCTGCCCCAGGTTTGAGCTTCGAGAGAACATGTCTTCTACGACCCGATCACCCAACGATCCGCAGGCGACAGGACATGCGACCGGACGAGCAGTTTGATGATCAGATCACCCATTCGTATACCCGGTCGGTACATGGCAACATACGGTCGAACTCCGTGGTGGAGTCATCTAACCCTTGGGGTCTCTCAAAGTTGGACCAACGGGAAATGCAAGCACAACCGACGCAACAAAAGGCGAGGGTGAACGTGCCAGTAAACATGAGCCAATACAAACCTTATCAGCTAGGGGTAGATAGTAAAGAGTACTCCCATACCCTAAACCCGAAACCACCATTACTCTCCCTGTGAAATCACATGGATTCCATCAGCAACAGCTGGCCACCCGAAATCCATCCTTCCCCCCCCGTTCGGTACCTCCCGCACTCTCTGGTAGAACGGTTTGACGCCCCCCCTTGATGCGGGGCTTCAACCAGTCTGCACACCGCGCCAAGGACCGAAACATGGCGGGGAGACCCGAGTCACTGAGCACTGAGGCTTTTCAAAAACAACAAGTGAGATGAAGTGAGAGGCCTGCTTGGCTTGAGTGGTTGGTTGTTTTCCTTGGCTGTTGCTTGCTTGGCTGGAAGGAGAGTGGTTGAGTGGTCGTCCTTCTTTTCCAGTGATTTGGTCCTATCTCTCCCCGCATCTCATGGTCCGATCTCTGTATCGACCAAGCTCAGCTAATCGAACCTTGTCTCCACCCCGCCTGCACTGACACCGACCCTGGGATCCTCCAACAAACGGTGCCTCTTTATAGATAGAAACATGTTCAGTAGGGATCGACTTTTCTATCTTTTGTAGGGGACTACCGGGACTATAGTTAAATATGTATATATATACACTTCAAGTCAAAGAAAAGTGCGAACGTGGCCTCCAGACTCCAGACTCCTGATTTTTGCACAAACAAAACAAGTCTTCTGCCTTCTTCTTGAAACACTTTATACAGGTCCCTCTCTCAAAGTTTTGTTGGATCAGTCTCGAAAGTCCTGACAAGGCAAACGGCCTCCCTCCGTCTCTACGTTCAGCTGTTCTTCTACATCCGAGCTGAGCCAATATATACCATGATCCGAACGAGGCGAGCGTGGTTTCCAACCGGGTGGCGGAACATTCGATTGGAGAATCCAAGGTTCACCAAACTGTCCACTCTTGGGGATTTTCAACAGGAAAAGGGTTTATTATTAGGTTCTAAGTGCATGGTTTTGCTTTTTGGAAAACATATCATGTTCAACACGCCTATGTCCGTCACTATGTGGCGTCGCCGAAACACGCCCTCGCGTCGTTTGGCACCCCGTCGTCGTCCAAACACATGAGGCAAATTTGGAGCCTCAAGTTGGCACCCCCAAAGAAGAACATGTTTTCTTTCAAAAGAAGATGCGGACTCTTTCAGTTTCACTGGAACATAAAGGTTAACCTGGCTTCTACCTGTTCTTGTTTAGTGGGGACACCACTCCCAAAATAAGGTTAAAGGAGGTTAAAGGTTATACACTTTTCCTGGGTATGGATAACAACTCCTTGCTTCCTTCTGCCGATCGTGTAGGTTGAATTCTGGGCTGATCCTGTAGGTCGAATTGAGATAAGTTTGAGAGCAACTGCGGATACTGTATGCCTTTGTCAGCATTGAAACAAGGAAAACTATGGAAAACGAGTCGAACCTTTCAGGAACGGAGCCATGTCGACTGGAACCTGGTGAATTGATGCGAATGGGGGCTTTTGAAGAGATTGGTGGAAGGAAGGACATTGTTTTGTTCTGAAAGGGCAACCATGCCAAGCTTGAATAAACAGTCCTTTGAAGGATTCAAGTAGAAACTATGTGGTTACTTCCAAAGCTGGGAGAAACTACTACTTTAACCCAGGATGAACTCTTGTCCCAATCGGTTCTACCATCCGAGGTGATCGGATGTCCTAAACTTCAGCTGAAAACACTGAACTGTAGACTTTGATCAGATCACTAAACCCCGCTATTGAAGAGGTCTTACAATCCATGTCTGGGCAGGTTGTTCATCAACTGTCTACATCCTCGGCACCCAGCTGGGCCCTGGACTCCCTAATCCTGTCGGGCGGGGAAAACAACCGATTTCAAATGGACGCAAGATCCTGTGCATGGTTACGTGGATGGCATGGCCCTGATATTTCAGATGACCATGAAATCCGATTGCTCAAACAGGTGGTGCCATCCACTTCCATGTTTGTTGCTGGGAGGGTAATCATACACCAAACCCTCGATGTATGGCTAATTGACATTGACCTAATTTGGATGATATGATATGATATGATTCTTTCAATGAGTGCAACTCGCCGTCTCTGCTGCTTTCTTTCCGCATCACGTCTCCGCTTCGCGGGCGGTTCCAACGGCAGACCTGGGATGATCGACCAGGCGCCCTGGTTGTCGAGGACATCGGGGTTTTCAGGATCTGGGATGATCTGGGCCACTCAGTTGTGAACTACTTAGAACATCAGCGTAAATCAGTAGCCAAATGCAATACAAACATCTACAAACCATGCAACTATCGCATGCAACATTCATACAAACTGGTCCTGGAAGGGCCCCGAAAGCAACTTGAAAAGTGCGAAGCTGCGAAAACTGGTCTCTTTCCCCATGGTACCTGAGTGGCAGTAAGGACCCCATGTCAGCCACATCAGAGTTCGCAAGAAACTGTTGTTGCTGGACATCCAATCTACTGTAAGGGGACTGTAGGCAGTCTCTGCTTAGCAATGGAACATGCCAACACAACATTGGGCTCTAATATGTCCGAATGGTCTTCTCAACCTCTCTTGGTCATCAGGCAAAGGTGATCAATATATTTGTTGGGGTCTTCTAAGCCTTGGGATAAGTTTCTGCCCAACAAGGCCCTACATTGTTCATGATGCTCAAAACAATTTCAGAAACCAATTGATCAGCTGTCAGTTCTGTGATTCAGCAGGAATGTGTATATATAGTTATATTTAACTATATCATCAGCAGCAAAAATTGCTGCAACCGGTAACAATCATGACCAAACCACTGCCACAACAACAGCAATGACAAGGACCACAATAATAGCAGCCATGGCAACGACGACCAGAACCACTGCACCCCCTCCTTTTTGACCACAAAAACAACAACCAACAAGCACGCAAAACCCGAAAGCAAACATAAAACAAAAATAAGAAACCATAACAAGGTCATATGGCACATTGGCATGGCTCCATATGGCCAGTGCGGCCAGTTCCACCATTCCCCGCCTTGGTCACACGTCAAGAAGAGCCCGTGCATGCGACCGAAGAGGTCTGGATCGGAGACCTGCCGGTCCGGCGGAGATGGGACCGTCCGGTTGGAACCACGAGGTCCGTGTAGGTGGTTTTGTGTGTTTGTGTTGCTTTTCAAACAGGGAGACCCCCGAAGAAATGGGTGTTCAAATGGGTAGATTGGTCTATTTTTGTGGGGTTTAGGTGTGTACTTTAAGTCCGGGAGACAGCTATCGGCCCAATGGGCCTCAATGGGTAGACGGGTCGGTGCTAAGGGGTCGGTCTCCTTGTGTCAATAAACACCGATCCACGAACATACGATGGTCATCTCCCAAACACTCCATGGGACTGCCATAGGACTGCCAATCAGTTGACCCCTCCCAGGCACTCCATGGGACTGCCATATATGCCGCCCCATTGGGGTGGTGCCAGAGGGGTCAATTGATTGGCAGTCCTATGGCAGTCCATCCTTAGTCGTGTGTTTGGGCCTTTTCAACCACCCCGACGGCCGTTTTGAAGGCAGGCAGGCCGTCCGGCAGTCCCCGACCGAAGACTTCGGTCCTGCGCGGATCGGGCCTTCGGGGTGGCCGTTCCGTGCGTCCCATGGCGGTAGGGCGGGCGAGACGTCTCAACATGTTGAGTGACTGCTCACGGAGCCATGGCAGTCACGTGACATGGCAGTCACTTGAGACAGGACTAAAGAAAGTGATTCTGTTCTGTTTCTAGTCCTGTCTTCACATGACAAACAAGTCTCTAGTCCTGTCTCGACTTGAAGAGACAGGACGTCTGAGACAGCAGGACTAAGTACCATCACCAGAAAAAAGATAAAATTGTCCATCTTCGTGTTGAACACGAGCATCCGACCATGCCGACCCCTCCCCCAAGATAGTGGGATGGTGTAACAAATAACAGCACACACACATGCACATGCACCGATCTTCAGGAACTGTGTGTTAAGGTGTGTTTTTACTTACAAATTCAATCACATTCATCTACAGCGCCATGTAATAGTCCAAGGCTCTAGAGGGCGGGCTTCCACACTTTGTACCGCTCTGACTGGAGAGCGCTGCCTCCAGTGCGTGCCATTGGTCCAAATCGCTCATGTCAGCCTGGCAAAGGATCACTGTCAGAGATGAAATGTTGTAACGGCTTCGCCAAACATGTGGGCTGGCATGTCGCAAGTGCGCAGGCGGGCGGGCATGTTGCGAAAGGAGGTTCGGGAGCAAGTAAAGAGAGTGATTTCCGGACCCTGGTTAAACACTTGTCGTGTTAACCCTCAAACCATGAAAACCATGGGAGAGAGGTCTGGATTCCTACGGAAGGTGAGCAAACACGGGCCGATTCTGGTGGGGTTGCCAGATTCCGTGTGTTTGGTTCAAGATGAAGGCTCCAAACAAATCGCGTGCAGCAGAGTGCTTCTCTCCTCCAAAAACAAGAAACATATATCGACTTTGGCATTTGGCTGTGGGTCATGGCACCCGAGGTCGCCCGTTTCACTTTGACCTTTGTAGCACCTCCCTTTTCGGTCGTCCGCTCGGTGAGTTCATGACTTCAACAACACACCGGTCCCGGTGCGAACTGCCGGCCTGGCCCTTTTTAATTTGTTGGTCGCTTCTTAGACACTCCTTCGGACTCCTTCGCAAAAACAAGTCAAGCATCTTCTCAAGGGGCGGATGTGACGAACTCACCACCCCCGGCACCTCACCAAAGCGCGCGCGGAAAGCGCGGCGTGCCGCCAGGTCCGCGTTCACCTCAGAAAGGCAGAACACGGGACCTCGATTCGTGCGGCAGTGTGGTACAGCTCTTTTAAGCACGTAGGGAGGCAGTGGTAAAGAGGTTTGGTGCTATTGTTGCTATCTGATTCTTTATTGATGCACTGTCGGAAGAGTTTGTTTTTGTGCATTTCAAGGTCTTTGGTTGTTGCCTGGTAACGATGTGTGCGGCCGGATTCTATGTCAAGACCAATTCCATATTCCCTCCCCATGATTCCAAGATCCCACAAACACTTGCAAAGTCCTCCCAAAGGGGGAAGAAGACGGTCACATCAACAAACAAACAAACATGTTGTCCCTTCCCCCAGCTCACGTGTAACCCCTACAACGGTCCCTTTTTGTTCCTTCCTTCCACCCGTTCAAGCTGGAACTGTGGGGGCTTCCGAAAACGCCCAACCGACGAAAACTGCTTGGTGCTTGAACAACCCCAGGAATCCTTGGATCCCGAAGATGTGGATCCGGTCACACACGACGCGCACTCGGGACTTCTCGAAAGCCCAGAGTGCGGAGTGGTGGAGACAGGTGGATTTGAGGAGCACACCCCCCAATCTACCCAGTCCAAGCTGCATCCAGAAAGAACACCCCGAGAGGCTTCAACCTGCAGACAGCAAAGAGGAAGTTTCACTCATCTGGATGAAACATGTTGGTCCAAACAAACAAATAAGTATAAGGAATTCCCCCCACAAGTCTGTTCAAGTTCATCAAGTTGTTCTTTTGCAATCATGCAGTCATTTGCTGATTGTCCCGTGCCTGTAAAGACTGCGCGTTTTTTTTTACTTTAGTCGTGCTTAGGATGATGATGCATCTTTTTTGGTAGAACCTGCACGTTTCAACCCCAATTTGTCAGTCCCTCATATTAAACATGCAGAATAATTATTGCCGGGATGTTGAAACATGTTTTTGCTGGATGTGCCCATATTCTGTAACCAGTTTCTCTAACTGGACATTCTTCTGCAGCCAGAAAACACCTATTATCAAAAAAAACATTTTATTAAGAAACATATTATATATATCTTAATATGAAACCGCTTCCAAACCAGACCTGTTCTTTTCGCCCGGTGAACCCCTTAAAAAAAAAAAAAAAAAAACGATGTCTTACCATGTCTTACCCGGTGGAGCCGGGCGAAGATATCCACCGTTGGACGGCGAGTTGTCCCGTCCAACCGACCTGGCGGGGAGGATCAACTCCTCAAGGAGCTGCAGCAGAGTGAAGCTCCTCGCGGAGCCGCGGAGCTGCGGAGCGATGATGCCAGCGTCGGCGAGGTTTCTGGGTTGGAATCAGGGTGAGGTTCGGTGGGCGAGTCTAGAATTATAGAGGCTGAGATGATGAAAAAGAAAGCAACATGTTTGATGTGAGTCATGTCGGCCCAGCCCAAAAAACACATGACTCAAGTGATGTTCGTTCCAAGTTCATGAAGACAAAAGTCACAGAAACATTATCAATATCGGAAACACACAATGCCATGGTTTTGTGATGGTATCGTTCTTGATGCAAACTATAACACTTTTTTAGAATTCGAGCACCATTTGGGAACACGGCTCCCCTCTTCTTCCGTTGTCATGTCGAATTTGGCACCCTGAAACGGTCTACACTTGGGAAGTGTTTGCACCATGTTTTACTGAGGGTATACATGTTTGGGTGTGCCCCTACAATGATAATTACAGCTTAAACACTGGAACTGCCACAGCTGAACTCTCACTCTGCCACAGCTGAAGTCTCACACTGCCACAGCTGAACGCTCACGCTGCCAAAACCAAACACTCGCACAGCCACAGCTGAGTGATTCACACTGCTACATCCGAACATGCACACGGCCAAACCCTAACACGGAACACGCCAGCAGTTGTTACAAAGTTCTACGTGCTGATGTTCAGATGCTTCACAAGTTTGGACACGGTGTGCTGGTGCTGCATTTGGACACGGTGAGTTGGTGTATTGAACGTGTATTGTATATAAATCCCTTCTTGGTGAGGCTGTACAACAAATAAGGGCTGTCCCGGACAAACGAACAAACACAGAAAGCTGAACACCTTGTTGTCAAGTGCAGCGACCAATCGCTTGGCATTCCGGCATCACATGTCGAGACGACCAATGGCTTGTTGCCGCCCCGTCTCGGTGACCGCAAGGCGCGGTAGATGCCACGTGCTCAGGTCGTTCAAGCGCTACTGCTTAGCTGTTTCTTCCTGCTTGCTGCTCCTCCCCTTTCTCTTGTCTGATCCAGAAGAAGCAGCCAACAAATCGCACCACCTTTGGGCGATGGTGTGTGGCCCTTTGCGACAGCCGGACATCGACAGGCCAGAGAGACCATCGTTTCCAAGCAAAAGGTGCACTTGGATCTTGGATGATGTTGATTTGCCAACATTGGCTTGGCAATCCAAAGAGGACATCAAGGCCAACACATCTTGCTCAGATCGAGCCTTTTGCTTCTGGAGCTTTTTCACGAATCCATGGATAGCTGTCATGCATGCCGATTAACAGCGGGGTTCCTTTGGAATTGATTTTTGGACGATGGGCCGATTCGGTTGTTCTTCTAGGTGCGCCACCAGCTAGTTCAACTATAATGCATGCTCAGGTTTCACCACTCCAAGCTGAGCTTCAATAGAATTGGTTCCTGGATTGGATGGATTCTCAAGATCACCAACTGCAGAACACGGGACCAGCATTGTATTGGCATTGGCTTTGGCTGAGCCATCGCCACTTTCGGCAAACAACTCGCCATCGCTGAGCAAATCGAAATAATCCACTACATTCCATTGCATTTGGGCAACTGGTGTAACCAGATTGTTCACTTGGAGGCTTCCAGTGGAGGCTTCCAGCTTTATATTGTAATCTTAGTGGTAGTGCACTTACTGATATTTCTGCATACTCAGAATGCTCTTGCGGGATGCTGGCGACAGCAAATCTATTCACAGAAAAGCCTTTTCATCCAATGCAAATACCTGCTGAACAACAAAACACGCGCATACACACACGCACAGGCACAGCTAGTAGCTTAGCGACGTGAATGAGGGCCCAAAGACATCGTGGCAAATAGCACGGTTCCCGTGGCACATTGGGGTGGCAAAGTTGTGGCAGTTCTTTTGTCTCAATTGTGGCAGTGGTGTTTCCTTTGCGTGGTGGGACAAACATTCCAGCCCTAGTCTGAGTGCAGATTATTGTTTTGGCACTCGTTTTGGCTATTCTTGATGGTCTGGCAGAGGTACTGGGGGAAGGGTGGCAGAGGTGTGGAGGTATGGCACAGGTGTCGAGCTATGGGCAGTAGCACTGGGTAGCAGGTGTTGCTCAGTGTCCATTTTCATGTGCCATCTCCCACGTCTGCGTCCCAAGTCACCATGACCGGTGGTGCCTGGTGCGGGTCAAATCCAAACCACTCGTTTTGCACAACAGTTATTAGTGAATATTAATTAGGTAGACGGTAGATGCATTGACCCCATGTATAACCCATCCATGGACCTCTCTCCATGCATAAAACCACATTCCGAGATTCCATACATGGATGGTTTGGGCATGGAAGATCCTCTCATGTCTTTAAACAGGCCCACCGAAAGGATATCTTTTCGGAGCTCCATCACCGGTCACCACCAGCCCAGCTCATAGTGAACATAATAGATATCATCGACAGGAAGGAATATCCGATCCCATATGGATCTCACTGGGGCCGGGCCGTGGCATGTCTCTCAATGGCCTGGGGATAGATGTCTCGAACACAGAAATAGCTAGCATTGTAGAGATCTGATGATGGACCCACAAAGTGCAAATATGTTCACATCCTTTCAATGTGTCCAAAATCCTCCAAGGCTCTTATATTCATCACACACACAGCAGTTGACTTTTTTGTGTGGAGAAACACGCTAGTCCCACCTCGCGCATGAGAGGTACATTTTCCCTAAACAGTGTGGTCACACTAGGGGTTCTTATGGTAGTAGTAGTAGTCGTCGTCGTCGTCGTCGTTGTCGTCGTTGTTGTCGTCGTCGTCGTATAGTAGTAGTAGTAGTAGTAGTAGTAGTAGTAGTAGTAGTAGTA